CTATCTATTGTTAGGGTGCCGATATCCATTATCGCGCTTATAATGATGATAGCGCTTATATCGCATATATTGATTATCGTTATACTGATTATAATCAATATATGCATTATACGCATTATAATCATTATAAGCACGGGTTCCAACTTTGGTGAGATCTTCATAGTCGAGGCAAAATCGTGACTGACAATCGTGCGACGATGATCTTACGACGAAATCGGTGACTCGTTGATCACGTGTTCCGGGTCTAACAATAGTCATCACGTGCCAACTAACCCAAAAACTAAAATTGAGACACAGGATAATAACCTCTACCCGGGTATATTTTAAGGATTTTCGTTTTGGGGACTCACAATATCACACTGACCGCACACTTATTTTAGCGGGTAATACGAACTCCTAAAAAGGAAACAGTCAACCAACGAGTTCAATTTGCGAAATTTACTTGTTTATTTTGGGTGTCGGCTAAAGCGGAGTTAATTCAATATATGAACATCATACTGCATAAATTACATTCTTGATATTCTATATAACCTATTAACCATAACTACATCAAAAAGGTAACTCTAAAACTCGCTCCGCTTTAGCCGAACCCCTTTTTGAATTTGTATTATCCGTAGGAAATAAGTAAATCGGGTCAAGCCGATGATCTGGTTACAAGCCTGTTGATATTCATAGGAAGGAGTTCGTCTGATTGGCTAATAAATTCAATTTAATACAGTTTAGAGTACTTTTTAAAAAAACGAAAACCAACCAAATTAAAGTAAAAAAAAAACCATATAGAAGGACTCATTAGAGCTGTAGGACTCCATAGTCAAAAGTAAGATCTAATTCTCATTTATTTAAATAAATTAGCTTAGTAATAAGTTGATTTTATCGGGTTTTGATAAGTTATTACTATACTAACTTCTTTAAACGGACGAGAATTAGATCTTATTTTTGGTTGTGGGGCCCTACAGCTCTAATAAACATTCTACACAGCTTTTTTATTTCATTATGTTTAGTTTTCATTTTTTTAAAAAAGTACTCTAAAAATGTATAAATGATGTAAAATTAAATTGAATTTATTAGCCAATCAGACAAACTTCTGCCTATGATGTTGATACGTGTTTAACTTCGGCTAACCCGTGAAAATATTACTATTTCCCAGTTCTTATTTATATTTAGTCCCAATATAATTATCAAATTATTGCGTACGTACTCAAATAACATTTCATATTTGCTTATTTATTGTTATTTTAACCTGTGAATAATGTTTACTTATTAATATAAATACTCAAGATATATTATTCATGTTTCTTTTAATTTATTATTTGCATTTGAATGTAGCAGTTTTTTTATTAATGCACTTAATTATTTCTTCACAATGATTTAGCTATTTACGTTGATTTAGTATAAATATGATGAACATTTATTTAATCAAAATATATAGCTATCCAAATTTGAGATAACAATGCATTAGATTGCAAGAAATTACATGTTAAAAAATAGAAATATAAAGTAGTTAAAGGCCTGTTTTTATGGGCATAAGTAATTCAATACATAAGCTTTGTAAAGATAACCATAATGTGAGCTTGACAATGTTACCAAGGCAGTATAACGGTTAATCATTAAAATAACCGATTTATTATTTTGCTGAACCGTAAACTGAGTGGTTCAATGGTTAAACCGGTTATTCATTGTCGCGGCAAAATTTTAAAACGGTTGAAGCTTGAAATTTTAGAAATTTTTGGGGTGTATTTTTTTAGCCTTTTTTTAATAGTTAGATTAAGCTTTAGGGTTAGTTTTAATAATAAAAGAGTATAAATGGATTTTGGTAGAGTTTAATTTTTAAATCGAGGTCCCTGATTTAAGCTTCAGCTGTGACATTTATTAAATGGTTCAGGTCACTAATGGCTAGATGATTCACATAATTAAACTTATTATAATCACATCAATTTTTCGCAAACCATTCAACCAGTTCGCAGAAAATAAAAAGTCACCTAATTGTTCTTTAATTTCTTTAATATTATCGAATTTATCGAATGGAATCAATTCAATCATTTACTTTTACACAATTGTTAATACTGTAATATTCTTATTTAATTATATATATATAGATTATTTCTATCTGCTATATCTAAAAACTACCTGTGTTTTTTTTTATTTAAACCCTCTAATTATCCTAACTTTACATACTTGCTTTTATCCAGCTGGGTATTGTTTTTTTAGTTACTTTATTGGGCTTAAATTTTTAAAGCAGATATTTAACTTGATTTGTATTAGTATCAAGTATTCTGCAGATTCGAACTAAAACTTGAACTTAAACCAGAACTGACACATAAAACCTTAATCACCTGATCTTTAATGAATAGAATTTTAAGGATCAAGTGATTAATACAAATAACATTTAATTAAATTCAAGTACATAGAATTAATTTAAGTGGTGAGCATTCAAATTAATAGTATTTACTATCATGTTAATTAAGATTAGGATCGGGCATACTCTGGAGCCACTCCGGAGTGAGCCCAACTCAAGTTGGAGTGGGTTAAAGATACGCCTAAAAATCTGGAGTAAACTGGAGCAGCTCTAAGCAAGCCTGGAGTGGCTTCGGAGTGAGCTAACCCAAGCTGAAGTGGGTTAAGGAATTGTTTGACCCAACCCAATCCATTAACAACTCTAATTAAGTTTGTTTGTTTAAGCTACAAATTGACCATATCTCTTAAAAGTAAGTATTATGTATTAAATTAGAACAAGTGCGAATTTAAAACGATTTGCGTCAGATTGAAATATATATGTCGCATCCCCTGTAAAAAATTTTAACGGACATATTCCGATTTTGTTCCGAGCTAGTTGAACTCATCCCGAATGTATTCCAAACTGAAAGTTATATATGTAAATCCAATATTTCGATGCTGATACTGTTCCGAAAATGCTCTTAAATTTTTCTTAAAAACAATTGTGACCCAGAAATGATTAGACTTAAAAAATTATAAAAAAATAAATGTTTTCGAAAATGCTCGGAAAATTTTCTAGTTTGGAACTTTATTATTATAGCATTATTTTTTTTTTCAAACCGGATGCCCTCAGGCACTTTTTATTAATAAAGTTATGATAGCTACTCAAATATTATAACCGATTCTCTGTAAGTGTACATTATATTGATATATACTGTATAAGTGCATATTATAAATCATTTCCCCAAAATTCATGTTTTATCTAATAATGACTGTGTAATATAAATGTGTTTTTTAACATTATCAGACAAAAGTTATTTACCAGAGAATAGAAGTGAATTGATGTATAGTTTGATCTAAAATTCAGATTTTGATTATTATATACAAGTTGCAAAGGTATCATTAAGAAATAGAGAAAAGTGTTCAAATATTCTAAGAAAATTATTAAAATAATCAGAAAGTGTAATGATTAGTTACTAGAAAAGATCTTTTATATTTTGTCTTTTTTACATAATACATTGCAAAATAAAACTTTAAGCTTTATTTAAATGTAACACAATTTTCTCTATCTATTATGATATACTTATTCTCTGCAAGCTTAAGAAATCACACATAACAGTCAATAGTAATCACATTAATAATCTCTAATTTGCTGAAGTTTCAAAAATATTGTATATTATTTCTATAATTTTCTGGGTTTCTTACTCATTGTACATATGCAAGCATAGAAATTTCATCCTCATATTTATGTGTAAAGTAAAATAATACTTGACTATAAAATTTTTGTTCTTCAAAGTTGACAGGTGTTTTTGGATAATGTGCATTTTTGTCAACCAGAAGCCTTGCCTATATAAATAAATTTGTATTTGAAATTTTACTATTAATAGTGTAATTATAATAAAACATCATACTGTAATTAAGGGTAGGGTGTACATAGATCATTTTTCATATGACCTAGATGGTATAATGGATTTTTATATAGTAAATTAAAAT